TTGTGCTTGGTGATACAGACACAGACACCAATATGACCCAAACTGCTTTTAGTTATATGAGAAGCAACCTCACGTGCACAACTGAATATGTATTTATGATCATGATGGAAAAGTTTATTTTTCCCCCATTTGCTCATATTTTTGTGCAAAACAAAAACATTAAAATAGCTCAAATTTCCAGACCATAAAAGTTTTGATTCATTGAAAAATGAATCTAAAAATAACTATGCATGGAGATTTTTTTTTTTTTCATGCTCTAACTTCTGTGTGGAACTCTCTGGTGGTGATTAGCTGCAGATACACTGAAGATGTGTAACAAGGGCCCCAACATCAGAATTCTTTCTCTATACAACATGCATGATCACTGTCATAAGAGCCATGGTAGGTTTTGATTTTATCTGTATGTGATCTAGACTATGAATATGAAGTGTTGATTCTCTGACGTGAAACTCTCTTAAATTGAAGAGATGAGTTATACACACTTATTACGAATCCAGACTGGATGGGAATGCTACTTTTATGACAGGAAGCCAAATTCAGATATAAAAGCAACTATCAGATGTTTTACCAATATAATACATTAGCGGTTACTATGGAAATAGATGGGAAAAAAACTTGAGTAGCTTTGGCCTTGTTAATTTCCATTTGAAGCTGTTGTTAATTTGGCTACATTACATATTGCAAATGAGGATCATAATATTTGGATAGGAACTTTCATCACCAAAACTCAAGAGATTTGGACTATATATAATGTTTGATAGTATCCTGATCTCATCTGGGCAAGCAGAACAAGAGGGGTTAAATTACTTTCACAGATTCCTGAAAGTAGGAGTCTCAGTAAGATTTCTGCTTATAACACTTAGTACATTTAGCCTAAGGCAGTTCTTGTGGGGACCTTCTTGCTTAATATGGAGCCAGATAAAACACAGAAATAGTTTTCAGAGTTCTGTCATGATGTAGTATTTTTATTATTTAAAAGTTGGTGTGTGTTCCCCTATATTAAGAAGAGATTCTTGGGCAACACCAACTGTTCAATTAGAAACAAGGTAATAAGGGTGACAGTTTTGACCCAAATCATACATAAACCCTAAAGGAATCTTTTGCTCAAAAGTTGATTTTTGGCTGTACAATGGATTCTTCTGTGGTTCTTCTTAATCAGTAACTGTTAGCATTGTTCAGCGTAAATTCAAAGCATAGTTAAGATACATTGTTGGGGAAGCCTCTTCAAATTCAAGGCTTAGTTTAAAGGAAGTCTTTGTTTATGGCATTTTCTAAACAACAGTGCTGACAGGCTGGAAAAGGTAAAACCCTTAAATGATAAATAGGGCAACAGTTATAATGGCCTTAATATTTTAGAGCATTGTTTTAAATTTTTTAATGAATGGGAGTCCCCTCCAACTCTTAAAGTTAGATGTATTTCAAATGCAATGGAGAATTTAATCAGATCAGTTCTAAATGAGAAAATATATAATCTTAGTTTCAGCATACATGAAAGGACTAAAACAACAGGGTCCAAAGGGCCTTACCTACCCTTCCTCCCTAAGGTAAGGTTGTTCTTCTCAAATTCTCCCTTACCAGATCCCCTGTACACGATAGTACACTATTAAGTCTTCTTTCCCTTCCTACTTCTCCTCCCTCTCTTCTTCTTTCCCAATTTTCTTCTAAGCACCCTTTCTTAAATGAATGTTTATTTATTGCAAACAAACTGTGTAGCAAGCGTGTTGTGAGGTTCTTGGGATCCTGCAGTCATCAGCGGTGAGCCTTCTTTTACAAATTCCATAGAGGCCCTAAACCTGGCATCCTTTCTACTGGCTGTGGCATGGCGTGATCTCCAGGTGACAGGATGGGACAGGGCATGTGCTTGAGTGTATGTGTAATCCAACTCCTAGTCCTTTTTGGACCTCCACGTTGGGATTCTCTTTCTCATTCACAGGCTCCTAAAACAGTGTCTGGATCATGGTGGGCACTTAGCAATAGCTGCTAAATGCATGGAAATTGACTGGAGAAAATCATCAAGTGGGCAGCTTTCCCAAGTGACCAGTGGTTATTCTCATTCTAAATGCCTCAACGTGCACATCTTCAATCTCCTCATTGTTTCTTTTTCTTACTCTCTCTAATCAAAATCTGTACTCCCAACTGTTGCTCACCTTACATCCTAAATTATAATAATGAAATGAAGACTGATGACACCCCCTGCAAAGGTATTTGCTCCTTATCAGGCAAGGGACTTTAAAGGAAATGCATCTAAAAGAACTGGCAAGAGGTAGTAGGAATGTGCCTGGGTGCTCCTGACTTCTGAGAGCCTCTTGGGGGCAAGCTCTCATTTCAGTTCTGCAGTGCTCAACGCAACACTTCAGCAGAGGTGCAATTCCTGGTCAGGGAGCTAGTGAGATTTCCACTGTGAAGAGTATTTGTATACCTTATCCTGGAGGCACCTTATCCTGGAGGTCTGATTACAACTTTAGGTTTACTCTCGCTCTGTAACTTTGATTTTACTTTCCTTTATCCTCTGTAATCAAGTTCAGATTGCTTCAGATGTACAACAGAACAAGCAGAAGCTAAGAGTGAGTGTGCAAAGAAAGATTCAGTTTCCCAGCTATGTGGGATCCTCTGGAGAGCTATTTGGGGTGAAAAATCTTGTTTGGGCACCCTGAGGCCGCAGGCTGTTCCTCTCTTGTGGCCAGACCCTGCACTACAAGGCCATTGTTAAATACTCATAGTGAAACTTAAATGATGTTCTCTTTCCCGACAACAGGTGGCCACTGCAACCTCCAGCTCTGATTGGTGGAAAGGGCACAGGCGCCCAGTGGCCCAGAGAAAGGGCCTCCACTTCTGTGTTTCAAGAACTTACTCAATGGGGTGTTGTCCTGATAATATCTCAGCACACTGCCAATTTGTGCAACCCGCTGGGCCATTAGGGAGCGCCGCTGGGTTGTCAACGTTAAATTGGAGACTCTGGAGAGGCGACCAAAGCTTCTTCGGTTGTGGGGTTGGGGGAAGATCAGAGTCAGTCTAGGGACAATGTGAGCAGTTATGTCTTTCCCACACACCTATCTCTCTCGCAGTCTCCTGATTCACATTTGTGCTCAGAGAAGAGCAAATACACACACTTTTCACCTAGTTGAAGTTTATTTTTCCAGCTTAGTTCCAGAAAGATCATACTGAATGAAGGCACACACACAGGTGTCACAAGTATGAGTGTCTACTTTGAAAACGGAAGCAATGAAAAGAAATCCGTGTAATGCTTGTCTGAAAAAAGTTTAAGTCTCGGGCTAGCAAAGTGTGCTCAATCTAGGGACGACACTATTAGCGAGTGTCAGACAAAATATTTCAAAATTTCTCCCCTACTGTTCAAGTAGCTCACAGATCACTGACTCGGGTAAGGGGAGCAGCATTGGTAGCTTCTCTTAACGTTTGCTTCCGCCAAGGCTGAAGGCCAAACTTTCAAATTAACTCAAAGCAATAAAGTCAAGGGGGAAAAAAGACGTAGCTTAAAGAAAAAAGAAATAAAGAGGAGGTGGGTGAGTGCAGTGTGGGGAAGTTAATCACCCAGAACCTTTTAGGAAAATAGGGACATTTTCTCTTAGAGAGCAGTGAATGATCTGCCTGGATCCAGTTACTCAAATGCCTTTCGAATACAAACAAGAGCAAAGAAAATAGGAAGAGAAACGACAAGAGGCTTAACCCGGGAAGCTACAAGTCTCCCTACCTGTGAAAGGTCAGGCCCCAGTACCCCTCTGGGAAACACCACAGGTGTACATGGGCTCCGGGGTCCCGCTACTGGGAGGCACTCGTGCAGGCCAGCTGCTGGGCTAGGTGTGTCCACGAAAGGGACGGTGGGGGAGACACGAGGAAGGACTGAGGGGCCGGGGTCTGGAGGGACGGGGCAAGCGGACAGCGAGAGAGGAGGGCCGAGCCGGGAGTGGACGGCAAGGGGATGCTGGGCCAGGGAAGCGCAGATCTGGAAAGAGGCAAGTGGGACGCCAGGGGCACAGGGCTGATCGAAGCGGCCGACGAAAGGAGGGGAGCGAGAGCGCTGCGAGGCGGCGGGGACAAAGAGGACCGGAGAGGGAAGGG